CTTTACTTTTCTTAGGTCGTTTTTTCTCAGCACCAATATTATTCTCTTTTTCCCATGTGATAAATTTTCTACATCTATCACTCCATATCAATCTATGAAAGCATTCTTGCATACCAAAGCTAGCTACTTTCAGAGTTTCTAGTGCTACGGCTTCGTTCTCTAAAATATTACTTAACCATGAGAGTGTGCTGCGTTTAAAGAGGCCCTTTGATAACAGACTACGCGCCTTAATTCTCTCTACTATCGATGAACCAAGAACTGCTCTCCACAAGTCTTGAACTGTTAAATCTATTCTATACATTTCCTCCATTGATGCCCAAGCTAAGCTAATGCTAAACTTTTCAATTTCCACCCATGTTTCATTTAGTGCCTGACACTGCATGAGGTGCTCCGCATTTTCCTCCTTGTTATCTTCACATAGGACGCAAATAGGGTCAAGATACACAGAGGGACTTCTCTTGTATAGGACACTTTTCGTTGGGAGTGTTCGTGACAAATTTTTTACATAGCTCACTAATCTACGACTTTTTTCCATTGAGTCGCATCTCATGCCTCTATACTCTTTAAATCTTCCCCAACAATTGCTCCAAATCAAGTCTTCTGCTTTTTCGATTTCGCCGTGAAGATGTGACTTCTTTTGCATATACCAGCTGCTTTCAGTTTTTATACCAGTAACTTGAAGTATAAAAGATCTAATTGGGAAGTCTACTTGTTCGTCTTGCCACCTTATGCCAAAAGGCCATCTAGCTCCGAAACATTCACAAAATGACCAGTCTTCGCCTAAGGTCGCCCCTCCTTTTGCTAGCTTGTCTGCTATTTCGTTCCACTTAATACCACTATGTGCTTTAACCTTGTTTAATACTATTTTGAGCTCTTTAAACTGAATTGTTTCCACTATCTTATCTACGATTCGGTAATTCTTTAATTTGCTCGATACTCTAAAACTTCTATTCTCTAATGCTTTCTGGATACTATAGATTGCAACCATACTATCTGTGTTAATCTCAACTGTACATCCTGAGCATGTTGTTAATAATGCACACCAGATCGCTACCAGTTCAGGTCTTGATGATGAAGGCCACTTTTCCACCCTTATACTACCTCTGGTGACTTCTACTTCAGATTGTTCTATATTTGTTTGTATCCATCCTGCTCCCATTAGATCAATATTCGCAGATCCATTATTTGGACGTATCAAGGATCCGTCCGTAAAGAACACCGGGTTTTTTGTTCTTTTTTGTAAGTTGAGATTCATGTTTTCAATTAACAACTTTTCGACTTTTGGTTTAAAGTGCTGACTTTTAATGAAGGTGATGTCTACATTTTCAATTGGCTGTAGCTCTACTAAACTCTCTTCGGTACCCTGCTCAGGAACAGTAGGTGTGAAAAACCAGGATGCAGGGATTAGCATAGACCATTTGTTCTCTCTTTTAACAATACTTTTAACTTGGCGAAGGTCTTGTGTCATAGACTTCTTGCCTACACATTGATTTGCTTCATTTGCTAAATTTATACTACAACCAGTACATCGGTGCAGCAACCCTGTATTGTGACCGGGCTCCGTTCGCCAGTGTTCAAAGTATGTATCTTCCCCGTTAGCGTCTAAAACACGACCGATTACCGGAGCTGTTGAATCTTGATCTTTCAGCACTACCCAGGGCTTACATCTCTTGTCTGTTTTTGATTTCTTGAGCTGTACTGGGAGATACATTGGGTTTCTGTGGCTTAGCTGATATTCCCTTTTTAGTATTCTTCCCTCTACTGAAACCAAAACCTTCTTTTCTATTTCACTAAACCACCGTGCTTTCATTCCATTCGTACATTTACCCCTCAGAGCTCTGAGTTGCTGCCACGTTAATAGTGTATTGCCTTCATAATCTATTATTTGCCCTAAGAAAAAGATTTCTAATTTGATGCGAGAATTTTCACTCTTTTCGAATACTTTGGGTGGTATTAAATCCTCTATCTTAGGGCCTGTGCCCTTTATTTGCCACCCTTGTTCAACTGTACTAAAAAATACTTCGAACTGCTTGCATCTTTCAACTGTATTACAGGTGATATTGCCTCTCCACCTAGTCTTGCCCGTCTCGGCAGCATTACACTTCCAAAAATCTTGACTTATCCCTTTACGGAAAATACCTTGTCTAATTCTAAGCCGTGTAATTCTACCTATTGTGTTTATATTATTTAAGCTTTTTAGAAGCACAACTGCTTGTCTTGCTATGAGTGTACTAGTGAGTGGTCGAAACCCTAGCATGCTATTATGAAATATAATATTATTCGAACATGTTTGAGCTATTCCCAACTTTCTTTTAAACAAACATAGCATTGGTTGATGAATTGCTGCAACTTCTTTCTCTGCTAGTGGAACGACCTGTAGGATATATTCTAATTTGGGTATTAGTACTTGATTGTTTATATAGACTAATTGGCTTGCTGTGACCTTCTTTTTTCTTATCAAGTGCGAGAAGAGGCCCACTATCTTTTTGGCCTTATTTTTGATGTTACCTATTTCTGTTGCAGTATGGAGCCTAACGCCTAGGTATTTTACGTCACATAGCTTTCTTTCTGCCATAATTTTTGTTTCGCAGAAATCTATACACCTTTCCTGCTTAGCCAACCCTGAGTTAACCACTACTAGCTTAGATTTGTTTCCATTTATTTTAATGTCATTTAACTTAAAAAATTGTTCAGCCAAAGCTATTATACGTTCCAGTTGTTGCTTCGAATTTGCTAGCCAGGCTGTGTCATCAGCATAAGCTAGTGCCGCTTGTCTGATCTCGTCTGTATGATCTAAATCCATCAATGTTTTCATTTCATCGTATGGCTTGAGGGTGTATCCCAGTTCCTTGTCTTTTTGTATCCTGTTAAGCAACGGGTCATAGAAAATTCTCCAGACCAGGGGAGAAATAACTTCTCCTTGGTCTATACCATCTTCAGCAACAATCTCTTCGGTAAGGCCAAAATTTGTAATTATTCTGAGCTTTCTGTCTCTGAATAGGTTTAGAATAAACCTACAAACGATCAGTGGGACTTTGATTCTCTCAAGGGCTTTTTGCAGCATTTCAAGGTTTACTGAGTCATATGCTTTCTTCATATCCTGGAAAAGGACCCATAGCTCTTTATTTCGCTCTTTAGCCTCTTCTATTACTGCATTTAATATTTGAATTGGCTCTTCAGTTGAGTTACCGGGTAAACTATATATATTAATATTATATAATAGCAAATTTATTAATAATATTAACAATTAGGACTTAATAAATATAAAATATCTAAAGACCAAATAGAATTAATAATTCAAAATCTTTTTAAAACTCTACCTGTAAATTAATTATTACAATAGCTATTAATGCAATATTTAACTTTATATATTTCTTGAAATTATAGATTGGGCTAGATTTCTCTTATTCTATTTATTTAAAATCTGATCAAAAAGAAAAATGCTTAATTCTTTTAAATTAGGTTTATTTAATCAAGCAACAAGGTATATATAGGCTGTCAAAAGTAGAAATCTAAGAATTTGACAATTTTTTAAAAATTAACCTGTTTGATTGATTAGGTGTAATATTTAAAGCTCAATCCTTTTTATTTAACAATAAAAGTCTAATCATTTAATAAATTTTTGTAATACAATGGTCAAAAGCTTTTGATGCAACAATCAAAAATAGATTTATTAGTACAGATGCTAGTATAATAGTGATCTACAAATCTAATAATCTTGTTTAAACAGGTTTGTTTATATAGAATAAACTATTTTTAGATTGTTTTGATTTTTATAACAAAATAGTTTTTGCCAGTTTTCTCAAAATCTGTGATTAGCAAAATTCTCTAGTTTCTATTTTTGAGGTTCTATTTTATATTAAAACTTTTTAAACTAACAACAATTTTCTCAAATTATATTAGCACAAGTTATTTGGCCTTATATATAAATTTAATTGTATTATTAGCATATTCTCTAGGCTATTAAAAACTTTCTAGCTTTAGAATTGTATGCTTGATATATAATACAAGTAAGGTATATAAAATTTGCTTCAACTTGCCAACTAGTATTAAAAAATCAAAATATACTTGTTGATATTTTTTTAAATTGTAATAATATTAATAATATAATAACAAATAATAATCTTTTTAAAAAAGATTATTGTAAACATATTATTCAATTAGTTAGAATACTTTTTTTTGTATATCTTTTAATTCAAATTAAATTTTGTTCCAAATTATACAATCTACAAGAAATTTGAAGTGACTATGTAAAAAAACAATATTATTATTATAAAGCTAATAATTTTTCACATATTTGGGCTTATATATAGAATAAATAATATTAATCTAAATGATAGTAATTATCAGCATATTTAGCAATAGAGTATTTTAATGTTTTATGATCTTTAATGATAGTTAAAAATCATTAGTGAGCAATTAAGCATAACTATTTTTTAGAGTACAATTGATATATTTAGATTTATTAGCTTATATAATTATAATACAAGTTATTTTTGATCAAGTAGATTAGCTATGAGATAATAAAATTGTAATATATTAACTTCTAATTTTAAAAAAGTGCAATAAACTTAATTGGTAATCCACAAATCAACTAGAGAGTAATTATAGTGAAATACAATACAGATTATTTATAGAAATTAAGATTTTGTAAATATGGAATATGTGAATCTAAAACTTTTTTTATACTAAGATAACTACTTTTCTAATTTAAAAGACTTTTGTAGAGCTTGTTGAGACATATCTAAAAATAGTTAAATCATCTAAATAAGCCTGTAAATGCCAAGATATCTTCAAAAAATCTTTCTTTAACTATGTAAATTTCTTTAAAACAATACTATTGTTTTACAAAAAAATTTACATAGTTAAAGGAAGGTTTTTTGAAGATATTTTGACATTTACCAGGCTGATTTAAATGACTTAACTACTATTAGATATGTTTCAACAAGCTCTATATAAGTTTTTTAAATTAGAAGAGTGATTAATTTTGTATAAAAAAAGATTTAGATTTGTGAATACTATACTTACAAATGCCAATTTCTATAAATAATCTACATTACATTTTACTATAATCACTCTCTAGTTGACTTGTAGATTACTAATTAACAAAAAAATTATTAATTAACTTTAATCTTTAATAAATTACTTATACAAACAAATAGATATGTTTGTATTTTAGTTTTTTGTTTGGCAAATTTTTATCTGCAAATATTTAGTTAAAAAGATAACCTTAATTTCTATTAGTTTTTTTAAGAAAGTATATTTTATTTTTGTTAAATTCTATATTAATATTTAATAATTTAATTGATAATCCACCAGTCAACAGAAAAATAAACATATATAACATGATGCAAATCACTATGTAAATCTAATATAGTGTGAATCTAAAAAATTTCTACTGTTCGTCCAAAGAAAACATTTTTCTGTACAAAGTTAATCGATTTGTAAATTAATTAAAAGTTGTAGAACTCATCCTTGTGGTTCTAATAGTGGTTAAATTATCCAAATCAACCCAGTAGATGCTAAGATATCTTTAAAAAACATGTCTATAATTATATAAAATCTTTATGTAAACAATATTGTAGACAGTTAATTTTTATTTATTTTTTTTTCTTTAATTTCTTTATAACTTATTATTATTATTATAGTATTTTATTTATTATTATCTTTCTAACAAAAAACAGATTACTGACTCTCAAGCCAGATACATTAT